TCAATTGTGCAATGAAGCTGTAGGTGGCAAAAAGAGGTGAGTGACATCATGGCCTCCAGCTTTATCTAGGCTACCGTCTGTAACGGGACTGTGCCATTCATCCGCCACCACCTGGGATAGAGCAGGCCACATAAATGAGCAGGCGACATAATAATGCACGTATACAGTGCTTTATAGGTTTCAAGATACTTACATACATTGCCTCTACCCTATGAGGTAAGCAGGATTGTAATTAATATCCCCCATTTTGCAGATAAGAAAACTGAGGCTAAGAGAGTCCAAATAACCACCTAAAGTCATAAAGCTTACAAAAGCAGAATTAGAACTAGAATTTAAATGTTCTGACTCCAAGCCCAGTGCTCCTTCCATTGCCTTTCAGCCCCTCAATATATTTTTTAGCCACTTAAAATGGAAATGTGATGGGGCGCCTGGGTGGCTCAGTGGTTAAGTGTCGGCTCAGGTCATGATCTTGCAGTTCATGGGTTCGAGCCCCACGTCGGGCTCTGTGCTGACAGCTAGCTCAGAGCCTGGAGCCTGCTTCAGATTCTGTGTCTCCCTCTCTCTCTGCCCCTCCCTTGCTTGTGCTGTCTGTCTCTCTCTTTCTCTCAAAAACAAATAAACGTTTTTTAAAAATTAATTAAATAAAATAAAATGGAAATGTGAAGGGAGAAAAACCAGTGAAAATAATTTGATCTTGACTGATTCACAACCATCACTATGGACATCAGTTGCTGGGCCCACTATACTACAGGGGCTACTGAGGCATGTAGGATATACACCCCTCTCCTGAATGCCCTCTGGGCTGCCACATTCAGTGAGCTCATGGGTCTACTTTTATGTCTTCCACTCTTACTGTCACTTGTAACTTCTTCCTGCTCGTATGTACCTCACTCTGGCAGTCTTCTATAACCCTTCCATTTAACTGCTTATCTGCTTCTCTGGGTAGAAAACTAGAAAATCAAGCTTGTAAAGACCACGCATAAACAGTAGTAGGCACTGAACAATGACCCAAGGAGCTTTCAGCTACCTAGGCAGGAGCTCCTTGATGTTTCAGGAACACAGAGATGTTGTTTGCTGCTTTTCCATGGCTTCTACCGTCTGATAAAGCCAGTTCAAATTGTGGGTTAGGCAACTTCCAGAAAAGCTGAAGAGCCTGGTCTCACTCAAAGTCAGTGGCACCTTGGGGAAGACTGGAATCGTCGATCATACAGAAAAACCTTAAGGCATACCCCCAAGTACTTCCTGAGAGCTCACATTTGAAGGTTAGAAGAAAAAGCAGCAAAGAAAACCAGATTCCAGGCTTGACGTTGTAGAGGTGGTAGAGATAGGATGAAAAATTCAGAATTCTATTCCAGTTTTCTTCTTAAGGACCACAAATTCTGTAACTTGTTGGGGCTTTTTTTTTAAAGTTAATTTATTAGTTTGGAGAGAGAGGGAGAGTGCAAGTGGGGGAGGGGCAGAAAGAGAGGAAGAGAAAAAGAATCCCAAGCAGGCTCCATGTGGCCAGCACAGAGCCCAACATGGGGCTTGATCCCAAGAACTGTGAGATCGTGACCTGAGCCGATATCTAGAGTTGGGCACCTCAGACAGAGAAGGACAGATACCATATGTTTGCCCATATAGGAGGATTAGGAGGAACTTAACAGAGGACCATGGGGGAGAAGAAGGGGAAAAATAGTGCGGGAGAGGAAGGGAGGCAAACCATGAGAGACTCTTGAATGCTGAGAACAAACTGAGGGCTGATGGGGGAGGGGGAGAGGGGTGATAGGCATGGGGGAAGGCACTTGTGGGGATGAGCACTGGGTGTTATATGGAATCCAACTTGACAATAAACTATGAAAGAAAAAAAAAAGAGTTGGACACTTAACTGACTGAGCCACCCAGGCACCCCCCTACAACTTTGTTTCATCTCCCCCCCAAAGAATTTTGTTTCATCTTAAGCACACTAAGAACAAGGAAAACCATGTCACATGATGGTTTGGAAGAAGCTGTGGCCTCAATGAGTTTCCTCATCTGTAAAATGGAGATAATTACAGTACGAACCTCAGAGGGCCGCTGGGAAAATTACATGAGAGGATTATGTGCAAGTAAGCATCATATAGTAGGCACTTAATAAATTGCCACTATTATTATTATCATCGTAATTATTATTAGGTAGGGGAGAAGAAAAAGAGGAAAGAAAATCTTTTCGTGGAGTTTTTCAAAAAGAATTAATTAAGCAGAAACAAAAAACAATTCTGCTGCCCCATTTTACTAAGCACATCCAAGTAAATTAAATTTAGGAAACGAGGCAATGCAAAGATTGAAAATAAAGAACAACTTTTTTTTTTTAACGCTTCAATCATTATCAAAACAACATTAGCAAGAGAACACTCCAACCACTGTAGCAAAGGGCCCCAGGCTCATTTATGAGGGCAAAAGCTTCTTGCAAACGAAGACATAAAATCCACATCGAGGCAGTAAGGATTGCTCGTGGAACTGTGCACATATTTGCAGAAAGCGCTCACAGCTTAAATACCCCCAATGTGGACCAGCGAAGGAATCCTAAAGAGATTATGGATCTAGGCCAAGATCAAGATGTGCCTTCCTCAACTTTGTATGGTGGAGAAAATAGCTTGCATCAAATTTCATATCAGTGAAGAATTAGAGCAATGATCTGGCCTGCTAGAAGCTTGGAGGGGGGAGTGTATTTTAAGGAAAAAACAATTGTGCCCTCTCCTTTTAAGTTCATTAGAATAATAAATAATTATAAGGAAAAAGGGGCTGCTCTCTTTTTCTTAGCAATCAGTAATACACCATCTTGCGGCAGTCCGACTTTAGTCTTGTGCCTCCCCATGTATGTTATGGAAAGAATTTGGGGGCAATGTTTCTACAAACGTGGCATAAAAGAAACCATGGTTTCTTTTTTCTCATGGGGTTTATTTTCTCTAAATGTGGAGCAGGGAAAGAATAAGAAAAGTGAATGAAACAAGATAAAAAATTGAGTACATACGGTGATGAGGTAGAAGGCTCCAACAATGGGTTCAGACATCGCCTACTTGTCTCCGTGTTCCTTTGCCAGTGTGTCTGTCCTTCTGCCTATCTTCACAATTTGAGGAATAACGTGGGGGGGGTGGAGGGTGTGCGCGCACGCGCGCACGCGCGGGTGTCAGAGACAGAGAGAGGAAGAATACAACTAGTAGGGGCTGCCCCCACTCTCCAGCCCCTGTTCACATGACTAGGGCTCCCCCTCCATGCTAATCCAGTTAAAATCTGGTCAGAACTTCCTTTCTTCCTAGTCTTGTGCTCTCCCAGGACTAGAAAACACAGTATGTCAAACGCAGGACCAGACAGAGATAGAGAAGCTGACACGCAAGGCTCTCAGATGGACAGCTGTGCCCGCTTCCCTGTGTGCGGGAACACCAGTGTGATTGCTCTACCACCCACTTCCACCAGGCCACAGTTGTATGATAACATCTGTTGGCCTGGTTATCCTGAGGATGAAACAAATCATAAATACTCCATTCTGAAAAGCACCTTGACACCCCAAAGAATAAGATTCACCTCCCTGTCTCAACCCAATTCTCAAGTCCCATCGCTTATCACCCCACTTTCAGCCAGCAGAACAGCTCCAAAACCAATCTAAGAAGTACATGAACGGTACATGTATTTTTAAAATCTGTTTAAATTATTCATTATATCGCCAAATTGTTAGTCTCAACAAACTCTTCACAAGAGTCTGACTGCATAAATAAGTTAACAAATACCTCACGCTTATATACTGTACTTCATATAATCAACCCAACATCCCCTGAGGCTTTGACCCTAGAAACTATTATGAATGTATGCTTTATTAGCTAATTCGAATAATTTTCTTAGCTAATTCTAAAAACTTCCTTGTAATACACAAAGTAAGCTATAATCAATCCACCTTACAATTCAAACAGGTTGATCCTTATCCAGGCACCATAAATCTAAGTCTTTGGAATGTTAAGTAGTCAGAAGTGTTATTTTCGAAAAATTTTTAAATGTTTATTCATTTTTGAGAGGAGGAGAGACAGAGCGTGAGCGGGGGAGGGGCAGAGAGAGAGGGAGACACGGAATCTGAAGCAAGCTCCAGGCTCCGAGCTCTCAGCACAGAGCCCGATGCCAGGTGCGAACTCACAAACCGTGAGATCCTGACCTGAGCCCAGGTCGGACGCTTAACCGACCGAGCCACCGAGGCGCCCCAGAAGTGTTATTTTTCTACCTGATCCCAATTCTCTGTAGAGCAAGAAAAAGGCATCTGATTCCATGTGCCTAAGGAAAGACAGAAGAAAGCCCCAACATCTGTAATTGATTGCCCCTCCCAGGAGGCAGCATACTGAGGTAGTTAAAAGTATGGACTCTAAGAGCCAGGCCGCCTAGGTTCAAATCCTGCTTTCACCATTTATTAGTTGTGTGACCTTGGGCAAGTTACTTAACCATTCTGTGCCTTGGGTTTTTATCCATTAAACGTGACAGCCACACACAGGTATAGTAAGAACTGAGACTCACAAAGAAGGAAGAGTAACCACTCACACAAATAAGGAAACGCACGGCCCTCAAACCAAGCTCCCCATCTCTATGGAAACGGTCCCAGTGGTCAGAAGGAGTTCAGGCATGTTCCAAAAGCATCTAAGCTGCTCCTGGAGAAAACTGGTATTCAAGTAAACTTTTGTTTTGTTTTTTCACCAAGCCTGAAGTGCTCTTAGAGAGAAAATATCATTTACTCTTTCTGCAGAGATTTACCGCCTCTGCGTACAGGTAAACAGAATGTCCTTGCACATTAGTTTTGACAATGCCCCACCTCTCTGAAGAGTGAAAACGTAGCTTCTCTAAAAACTGTGTTTTTCCTTAAACAGAATTTCTCACTGGGAGGTTCTTATAGCAAGCATTAATGCTGGAATGGTAATTTAGAAATTATACTTAGCATTTGAAAGCCCGGTGCCCAAATAATGATGCCATTGAGCAGCACATCTGAGCCGACCCCCAGAACTCACCTTGGAAAACCGCAGCGTTCTGAATAATTAAGAACTTGAGCTCCATACTCGCAGACTGAAGCAGCTGCTCCATGTTCAAGCGCGCCGTTAGCTGGTACTTTTCTTCCATCTTTCTGGAGCAGCATGTTGGGCCCTTGGGGAGACATACTTGCAAATCTGATCCTGAAACAAACAAGTTTTTCATGTTTCAGTAAGCAGAGTATCATACACACACACACACACACACACACACACACACACACACACGAGGCAAACAAGGCCAAACAATGTACTTTTTTTTAAATACACTGAAATCTTGCTTTTTCAAAATTAGTGTTTATCTTAACTGATCCCTGCTTTCTCCCCATTATCCTTATGACTGATTCTTTTTGAATAACCATCCGAATTAATTGCCGAGGTTTGACTCATAAATTCTGCATAAACTAATTTACAGCCCAAGTATACGTCATTGAACACCGATATTTAATTTGTCCGTTAAAAGATTAATCTTCACCCCTACCATTTATTTTTCTTGATTATAATTTATGAATGAGAGCACAACCAAGAAGCAATTTTCAAAATTCCAGTTATGATTTCCTAATGAAATGTATGTCTGCCAACCCAATGTGGCTTTTTGGGATAAATGATTAAAACATCAATATCATATCAAAGCTTTGCTGTTGTTGTTTTCACTAAAGGTCTAGGATAAGATTCCCAGATGAAATATCCAGAAGACAATATTAACATTCAGACAATCATCAAACTCCCTGACAGCTACAACATTTGCGCTCTGTTCAAACGCTGACCTCTGAACTCCTCAACTACTTCACTTACGATGCACAATGCTTTTTTATTTTTGCAGTCCCATAAAAATTTGCCAAATGAATGATCTCCTCACTTATTCTAAAAAGAGGGAATCGGAACGTCTTCTTAGTCCTCGTCCGACGTGATCTTTGGCAACTTCCCTCACAGTTGACCAATATTTCCTTCTTAAAACACTCACCTCCTGCGTTGTTTTAGTGAACCTATCCACCTCCCCTGCCACACACCTACTGCTGGGGCCGCTCTTATCTGTCATGCTTCCTCTTCTTCTGCCTATCACTTTAGTTTCATTCTGCCCCCTCTTTTTACATCTCCCCTCACCCATGATCTCATCTATACCCATGGGACTGCTAAACTACCTAACCCAGCCCTTACCGCTCTCCTGAGTTCCAAAACTCCACCGAACTTTGTGTATCCAATACGTGCGCACGTGCACATACACACATGCAAACACGCACACAGTTCCGTCTCTTGTGTTCTATATCTCAGTCAATGATCATCATCCACCATATTTCCCAAAGATGGACACCTTTGTCATTCTCAGTTCTTTGCTGGTAATGTGAGACATTTCTGCACCCATGGAAGTCATCAGCATGCGAATGAAAACTGAAGCCAGGGGAGCAGATGGGAGTCATTCAACAAATATTTTATTGGGCACCTGCCCTGTACCAAGCACTATGGATACAGTAAATATATATAACAGAGATATATAGTTTGTATATGTAGGGAGTTTATATATAGTTTGTATATACATACACATAGAGTCAAGTAGCGGTAAGCACTACAGACAAAATAAAGTTAAGGAAGGGAAAACAAACTGTGGTAGACACATACAGTGGGATACTACTCAACCATAAAAAGGAATAAACTATTGATGTGCTACCACATAGGTGAATCCCCAAAACATTATGCCAAGTGATAGAAGCAACATCAAAAAAACTACGTACTCGCAAACATATGATAGTTGTCCTTCTCCGCCTGACTTATTTCGCTCAGCATAACACCCTCAAGGTCCATCCATGTTGCTACACATGGCCAGATGTCATTGTTTCTCATTGCCATGTAGTATTCCATGGTATAGATAAACCACATCTTCTTGATCCATTCGTCCGTTGATGGACACATATGTTTGCACGTATAGGAGGATTAGGAGGAACTTGACGGAGGAATAAGGGGGAGGAGAAGGGGGGAAATGGTGGGGGAAAGGGAGAGAGGCAAACCATGAGAGACTCTTGAATGCTGACAAAAACTGAGGACTGATGGATGTGGGGGGGAGGAGGGATGGGCATGGAGGAGGGCACTTGTGGGGATGAGCACTGAGTGTTATGTGGAAACTAATTTGACAATAAACTATTTGTAAAAAAAAAAAAAAAAACTACATACTCTACGGCTCCATTTATACAAACTCTACAAAATGAAAATTAATCTATAGTGACAGAAAGTGGTTCAGTGGTGTTGGGGAGGGGCTAGAGGGCAGGGATGGGGCAGGAGTGAGGAAATTTGGGGGAGTGATGGATATATTCATCATTTTGATTGCAGTGAATATTTCATGGCTGTGTATATGTGTCAAAATTATCAAATTATGCCCTTAAAATGTGTGTAGTTTACTGTATGTCAATTATACCTCAATAAAGCTGTTAATTTTTTTTAATGTTTAAAAACCAAAGTGAAGGAGATAGGGAAGGAGGCAGTTGCAAGGACACTTCTATTTATATAGGGTAGTAGTTAGGGAAGGCTTCTCTCGTAAGGTAACATTTGAGGAGAGATGAAGGAAATGAGGGGGCGTCCATGATTTTATATCCTCCACCAATACTAGCAAATATTAGGGCTCAATGCATTTTAAATCCAATCTCCTTCCTCTTCTGCAACTCTCACTGGACTCAAACTCTCCCTTCAGTCAGTGTTTGTTGAGATCCTTCTGTGGTGCCCACACGAAAATGTGCATCTAAGATCCCCTACTGCGTGGAGCGAAACTGACGAACGGGCCCAGCTGCCACGCTCTGAATTCCCCACCATGTTGTACCCAGACAGTAATCCTTAGGGGCTGCTCCCAGCCGATGACTGAGCATAACAAAGATGCTAAGCCTTGTGAGACACAGGACTTTGCTGACAGGGATTTTGGCTCGAGGACTCCCCATTGACCTTGACAAAACTTTCTTAAAACTGCACTGCAGTCAGGGTGCCTGGGTGGCTCAGTTGGTTAATCGTCTGACGCTTGATTTTGGCTCAGGTTCAGATCTCATGTTTCGTGAGTTCAAGCCCTACATCAGGCTCTGCACTGACAGAGTGGAGTCTGCTTGCGATTCTGTCTCTCTCTATCCCTCCCCTGCTTGCTCCCTACCTCTCTCTCTCAAAAATAAATAAACATTTGAAAAAAATCTTTAAAAACAACCGTACTGCAGTCAAAGATTCTTCCTACTCTCCCTTCCTTCTTTCCCTCCTTCCTCAGCTGGGCCCTGCACCACAGTCCAAGGGCTCTTCCAGCATCCTTCAGCATGAGCGTTTTCCCCGAGAAATCTAGAGCCCTTCTGCTTCTCAGAGGACTCCATCTAACTCATCTTCTATGCACCAAACCCCATGCTACATGGTCAAGGTACCGCTTTGAACAAGAGAGACATGGTCCTTACCCCCAAAGAGCTCACTGTCTAAAGGAATTCACAGAGATAAATACCTAATGCACAGGGAATGAGTGCCATACAGCAACATAGTTAGCCGGGATGACCAAACATGTATATGGGACAGAGGGAAGCCTCCCTCAACATCTTCTAAAGACCTCGGCAAGTAAGGTTCCATAAGACACATCCAATCTTACTGAAGTAAGGCTAAAACGCATACACAGAAATGTTTCAGACAGCTTTGCAACAATGAGGTTTTAAAAAATGGAGTTGGGGGTGGGTATGCGGTGAGACACTAGTTAGTCCTCAGTAAGCAGAGAATTTATTTTTATTCCATCTTTATTTCCCTATCCAGTTAATCATGACCTTCATGTATGTGTCCAAGTTTTATTTTCTTAATTTAGGAACGAAATTCATCAAGTTTTGCCTCACATGACATCACTGTGGGAGTCTGGGGTGTAGACTCCAAGCTCTCCCCTTCCCCTTCGTCAATTCCCCTTCGTCAAGGGAGCTGCTGACAAAGGTAGTAAACCGAGAGCACAGATAATACATATCACCAAACCGAATCCAGCACTGCAATTTACAGCACTGGATGGAAAGGTGATATTTAATGTGTCAAAATACAATTTGGGGTCTGGAGACGCAGAGTTCAGATTTATCTCCTATAAATGTCAATCTCATATACAAGCCTTAAACTGATTTTAAATATGGTCTAAGCTTAAAGGCTTTATGATTATCTTCTGAAAAAGAAAGCAGAGCTAGCTCACTGTATTCTTTCTACATGAGGTTACAAAACATAAGGCTGTTCTAGGAGTAGAAATTGATGCAGTTTACTGGACCACAAAGGGAAAGATTCCCCTTCGGGAAGAGTGGCTAATCTAGATTTAAGGAAGGTTGGTCTGGGACACACGTGTAGATGGGAAAATCCTATGTAGCAGAAATTTTCCATATACCAAGTTCTGTCCACTTATCAATGCTTTATTTGCTTCCTTGGTAAACTGATGCCTAAGTCATATGTGTTTAAAATATCTGTATTTGGTGGAGAAACGGGCACCCTCCTACACTGTTGGTGGGAATGTAAACTGGTACAGCCCCTCTGGAAAACATTCTGGAGGTTCCTCAGGAAACTAACAATAGAACTCCCCTAGGACCCAGCAATAGCACTGCTAGGAATTTACCCAAGGGATACAGAAATGCTGATGCATAGGAGCACATGCGCCCCAATGTTCATAGCAGCACTCTCCACAATAGCTAAAACATGGAAAGAGCCTAAGTGTCCATCAACAGATGAATGGATCAAGAAGATGTGGTTTATCTATACCATGGAATACTACATGGCAATGAGAAACAATGAAATCTGGCCATGTGTAGCAACATGGATGGACCTTGAGGGTGTTATGCTGAGCGAAATAAGTCAGGCAGAGAAGGACAAATATCATATGTTTGCACGTATAGGAGGATTAGGAGGAACTTGACGGAGGAACAAGGGGGAGAAGAAGGGCGGAAATGGTGGGGGAAAGGGAGAGAGGCAAACCATGAGAGACTCTTGAATGCTGACAAAAACTGAGGACTGATGGATGTGGGGGGGAGGGGGGGATGGGCATGGAGGAGGGCACTTTGTGGATGAGCACTGAGTGTTATGTGGAAACTAATATGACAATAAACTATTTGTAAAAAAAATTAATAAATAAATAAATAAATAAAAATAAAAAATAAAATATCTGTATTTGATAGGGTGCCTGGGTG